TGCCAACCGATCTTGACCTCAAGAGTGATTCTCGGCCTGAAGTCGAGTCAAGCTAGTTTTAAGTGTAATTTTTTTGTAAATTTATGTTTAGTTCGATCGCTTATTATTATGTATTTTATTTCTCTATTTGTTCTATTCTCTGTGCAATTACATTTTTTTGATTTATTTGTTTTGACGCTGCTGTGCATCAACGCGGGCGGTATGTTCAAATTGTAACGGTTGCGGACTTGGCGCTGGTGCGAGATGAGAGCTTGGTGGGGAAAAATACGCGCGAAATTGTCACGGCTTTTATTACAATACGTTAAATTTTTCTTCAGTCTCTAATAGTCAATCAGCAAAGCCGTTGGCATAGCCTTTTCGCCCTGGCCTGCCAAGCTCTGATTTCGCGACAGCGTCAACGCTTTTTGTGCCCAACTACTTACGCTGTTTTTGAGTCAAAAGTGTTTGTTTTTTAATACAATAAATATTCATTGTTATTTTTTTTGTTAAACGGAGTGCACGAATTTTTATTAACGCCCTAAGTTCAACTCCACTGCCTCGCACGGTAACACATGATCAGTTCTGAACCAATCGCGTTGCTCATATACCTAGTTCGAATGTCGATTCCGCTCGATAGTTTAAACTTTAATCACCGACCGCGCCGAGCGCTGTCGTCACCTAGTAACTAAGGGAAAACAGATCGATCAGTTCAGTGCCAACGGTCGACTAGTTCGTGTCTCGCTTAACCTCAACCTATCCTCGGGTGTGGGATCAACTTCGTTGGGCTTGTGATGACGGACGGGATGGATCCGGTGGCTGTTTGGATGTTGATCAATTGTACGGACTCATTTTCCATTATACAGTGGAGACTGTTTATAACGAGGCCGGTTATAGCGAGAGACCGGTTATAACGAGCAGATTTTGGTTGCTCAGTTGATCTCTGTGTTATAAGTATAGGAAATTGTATCGATATAACGAATAAGATATAGCGAGTAGTCCGGGTATAACGAGGTATAATTTTAAAAATTTTTGAAAAAATTGATGTTTATAACGAGAAATTGGGTGTCAACATTCTGCTATTTTTGTATTTTTAAATTTTATTTATATTGAACGAAGCAATTAACCCAGGAATAACAACATGTACATGTAAACATGTGCTTGACTAAGCCCATTCAATGATCAGTCGTACAGTTGCCTTTGCAAAGAGTACTATTAATATAAAATAAAAAATATTTTAAAAATGGAAATTTCGAATTCGAAGAAACGAAAGACCTTATCAATAAATGATAAGTTCTTGATAATTCAAGATCTGGAAAACCAAAAATCTAATAAACAAGTTTGTAATGCTTATCAACTGTCGTCCTCAACTGTATCGACCATTTGGAAAAATCGCGAAACTATCATGAAATCCTTCGAGGAATGTGGTGGAACTATAAAAAAAAAGGCGCTCTTGTAAAAACCCGAACATCGATAAGGCTCTCTACAAATGGTTTCTCCAGAAAAGAAACCATAATGTGCCCATCAATGGCCCAATTTTACAAGCGCAAGCTGATAAATTTGCAGCGATTAACGGTGAAACCGACTTTATTTGCAATCATAGTTGGATATCGAGATTTATCAAGAGGCATGATATTTCTTTTGGTAAAATATGTGGAGAAGCAAATAGTGTCGATTTTTCCAAAGTAGATACGTGGAAAACAGAGCTGTGGGATAAAATTAAAGATCAATAAACGGAGGATGATATTTTTAACGTTGATGAAGCAGGTTTGTTACCTAGTAATTGTACACTTATTTTTAAATTGTAAATTAATTTTAAAATTAAATTCAGGAGTTTTTTACAACCTCATGCCGGATAACCATGTGTTGGCGGAAAGTTATCGAAATTGAGGGTAACAGTTCTGATAGGAGCAAATATGACAGGAAATGAAAAAAGAAAATTATTCGTCATTGGAAAGTCAAAAAATCCTCCTTGCTTTAGAGGTGTAAAACAATTGCCAGTAAAGTATGACGCAAATACCAAATCATGGATGACTGCCGAGCTTTTCGCCTCAGTATTGGCAGAATGGGATTCCGAATTGAGAAAAAAAGAAAGAAAAATATTGCTTATTGTTGACAATTGTGCGGCCTATAACAAGATGCCGAGTTTTCCAAATATAAATTTAATTTATTTTCCTCCGAACGTAACGTCGGTGTTACAACCAATGGACCAAGGCGTTATAAAATGTTTTAAGGGCATCTACAGAAGAAAACTAGTATTAGAGTACATCAACAACATAGATCGAGGAAATACAAACAGTAATGTTTCTCTGTTACAAGCTGTTTGTTTCATGGCTGAAGCGAGGAATGAAGTAACAGAGAAGACAATTCGAAACTGCTTCATAAAATCTGGTTTATGTAGAGGAAACTTAGTAGAAAAAGACGATGACAATGAAATGAGATTGTCTGATTGGCTGAGCTGTAATCAAATACATCACACTATACCTACAGAATCCATCGACAACTACGACGAGGATGACATGGAACTTCCAGTAGAGTCAATGAACTTAACGACGATAAATTTTTTACGTATTGGTCTAAAATGAAAACAATTGTCACAAATTTCCATTTGAAACAAAAAGCTCTAAAGCAAATACAACCCACAATTTTATGTTACATGAAGGAAAAAATTTAAAATATTCTAAGATATTATTATATCATTATTATTCATCTAAATGAAATAAATAATGTATATAATAATGATCCAATCAATAAATAATCGTTTTTTCTGCGTAAATGCCAAAAAATCGTTTCATTAACCTATGTCGGATATAACGAGGTCCGGATATAGCGAGTGCTTTTCAGTGGTTTTTTGAGTCTCGTTATAAACGGTCTCCACTGTATATTAAAAAGAGACAATTTAAAGTATCATAAAGATACATTACCCCTTACCGATCCAGACCAGGCGATGACGAAGAACGAGTTTCTTAATTTTAGAGAAAAGTTGAACGACAAAAGTGTCGCCTACGAATGAAGTCTGCGTTGGAACATCCAGACGTACTTTTAATGGACATAGGACACGGTGATAGATCAATCCTACGATTTTTCTTGAGAAGATTTTTCTTCAGAAGGTAATGAAAATACCTTTTAAAAGAGACCTTGCAAAAGTCAATACGTCAATCCAATCGCCTTCTACATTAATTCAAAAAAAGCTGAAAGACGACAATTTTGCAATATTTCATCCCCCTTCATTGCCACCCCATAACCGGGGCTGAGTTTATTGAGCTCTACATAATTTTTTTATGAAAAGTACATGCCTAGACCTAAAAAATTCGACCCTGTGGGTTAAAAAATATGCTTCGGTGCCTGAGTTACAAATATTTGAATAATACGCAAAAATAGGTAAAAACGGCTATTTTTGGACCTTCGAGGGGCTCAAAATTGGGCCTTAGGGCCACTAGAGGGCTGAAAATTTACCTAAAGGCTATCTTAACATACGCAAACAACATACTAAATTTTGGGGCAGATCCGAGAACCCCCCGTACAAAAGTTGTACATATATGAAAAAACCGCTCAAATATATATAAGACACGAGTGAGATCCACTATGAGAGAGGGGGGGTGTGTGGGCAATTAACTAAATTTTGTTTCTGAAATACGAGTTGAGGTTTATTAAAAATTCTTAAAACTATATTTACAATTATAAACCTCTCTTACCTGAAATACGAGAAACGACAATTAAAGCTAATTGACCACTCTCTTTAAACACATGTGTACAACTGACAATTCAGACTCATTCATCTTACACACTCATACGGATAATATTTACAAACTTATATGAGGCGCGCACAACTGATACAGCGCCTCAATTATACATTAAAGAAACTAAGTTTTCTTTACATCTCCCCCTCCCAGAGAAGATGAAAAACATATTTTTTTTACATTTATTTTCTAATTTTCATTAACTTCTGTCATTGGTATTAATTTTGTTACATGGAAAAGTCCTATATCACATTTTTTATTATCAGTTTTAATTTTAAATACCGTATCAGACGCTTTTTCCACTATCTGAAAAGGTCCAACTCTTAACTCGTCGAGCTTA